CATACCCGCATAACCGTTTACCCGTTGGGTAATTGCATAAATGGTTATACTCATACCCATAACCGTTTATAAACGGTACGGTTAACCATACCCATAACCGTGTACCCATTTAACCATAACCGTTTACCCATTTAACTATAACCATTAACCCATTTACCCGTTTATCTTTTTTTTTTTTTTTTTAATATACCCATTTACCCTTTTTTTCACCCGTCTACATGTTTTTTTAACAACTTGAAAATTACAAAAGAAAAATTTGTCATAATTTTCGTTTTCTGGCAATTAAACACCGTTATAGGTACATTAGCATGCATTTCCCTATTTTAGACGATTAGACATAATAAACATGTAACATGTATGGGATACATAGAAAAGTATTGGATACAAAACACGTAATATGTATGGGTCAACGAAGACATAATAACTAAGTAGATTCCAGTTTGACGTTTTCAATGGGCTTACGGAGGTCTCAGAATCGAGTAAAGGCATGTTTGCGACTTAGCAGCATGTCTACAAATGACGAATCACACTTGTTGTCTCATGCATCCTCAGCTGGTCTAGATGTAACAACTATAGTTCTAGCTTCCTTCAACTGTGATATGCGGCCAATGCTATTGATATGTGACCAAAAAATAGGAATAGAAGCCGAATCAAGTTCACTCGAAGCACATCAGGAAGACAATCCTGAAAAATAAAGATTGGATGAGCTTTTGTGACATAAATTGAGGAACTACAGCAGGTAGCTGAAAGATTGGTGGAGATGAGAGAAAGTGCAGCGATGAGGGAGAGATGAGCAGGGGACGGGCCGTTTGAGACTCTTAGTCCAGCGGAGAGATTGAAAATTTAGGGTTTTTATATTTATTTTTTATTAAATTTTACATATATTAAATTAAATGGGTAAATGGATACCTGTTATAACCGCGGGTAATACTCATAACCGATGGATATCCGTTATAACCGCGGGTAATGCCCATAACCGTCCATTTAAATTTCACGGATAAACGGTTATACTCTTAACCGTTTGTTCATCTAAACGGTTACCCATAACCGTAACCGTGAACTTTAAATAGACAGGTAATCGCGGTTACCAAAATACATGAGTATTTTGCCCATCTCTAGTAAGGGGCCCTCACTGTCTAGCTGGGCTTCAAATAGGGCGCAAGCCCTTGCAGCTGCCTTCAACCCAATTACCTCTCATTTTGTAGACTCATGAAGGAGATTTTTGGCGTGAAAGGCAACTCAACCCATTTGTTCTTGCAATTGGATGACTGGAGGAGTTGTGGAGCATTTAAGTTGCAACATCAGCAACGTCGGCGGCCTATATGTGTTGTCGGCAACGACAAGTAACACGTGAAGTGGAAACCTGAAAAGCAAGAGGTATATGCAGATCAAAGCCGTTCCATGATATTCCGACACGTGTTGCAGATCCAAACAAAAAAATACATAAAACAAACAAGAAAAATTAATAAAAAAAACTTAGGAAAAAGAAATATTTATAAAATAATTCTGTGTAATAATTAAAAAACCACAATAATTGAGGCAACTCGTACAGGCTATAATAAGACGTTGAAAACGAGGTGTGAAGATTTCTGGAGGGAGGATTGGCGGCATTTGGGATCCTACTCGACTCCACACATACGGAAAAGTGCAGAGCTTTTTACATGGAAAAGCAACATCTTACTAACAAGTTGAAACCATCTTTTGGTTTTTGAGAGTTAGTTGGAATCAAATCTTTATAGGTATCATCATCCATGAAGTATTGGATTAGAAAAAAAAGCGCTTGGTTGGACTAATAGCAATCTGCCAACTTGTCATCTTAATTTTATACTTAATTTTAATGTTAATTTTGTTGTTTACATCACTAAGTATCACGATTAGTGGTATTTATCCTTATTCGTTAGTAGGATGACTTATATTGACTCTTGTGAACAATGAGTTCAAACTAAATTATTATGATTGATATATTATGTGTCCAAATACCCCACTATTTAGTATGAATATATTATTGTATTAAAAAAAATAAAGATGAAACACGACAAATTATTCTATTTATTTGTTATTTTTACTTTTTGAACTGTTTTCGAAAGAATTACATGTGAGGGAACAAGAGGTGCTTTTCAAACAACGAATAAGCAACGGAAGTTGGTAATTATGTTGATGCGACTACAAATTGGTTTGATACAACTTGAGTTATGAACGTATTTTAGGTCAAAGTAGGAGGCTAGAAAGGTGTTGTGACATGAAGAGAATGTGAGAGAGCAATATTAGCAGTGCCTTGACCTTGAGTATGCCCTATGCCTAGCTAGGTTGATTCTATTTCAACTATATGTTTTGAGAATTGTTATTAGAACTTCAGGAATCTTATTTAGCATTCCAAACTTTCTATAATTAGAAAGGAAAAATATACTTGTGAAGAATGTATACTGAGATTTTTGGAATGCTAATAACGGTTCCTTATGGTATCGTTTGGTATGCAGACGGGACGGGACGGGACAGGAAAGACGGAACGGAACGGAGCGGGAGCAAAGATGCCCTCGGATGGAAACAAGGAGGAAGAAGAATGAGATGGAGAGGTTATAATTTTGTGTTCCACGGATGTGGAACGAGTCGTTCCAGGGGGGTGAGATGGAACGAAAATTCACCCAAAACTTGTCCCGTGGAACAGCTCGTTCCACCCGTTTTAGGCGCACCAAACGTGGGACAGAACGCCTTGTCCCACTCTGTTTCGTCCCGTCCCACGTACCAAACGGTACCTATGTTTTACTCATCACAAATTCTAGTATCTACCATCTGGTGTCAATGAATATGCAATTAGGGGAAGAATGTCCCTTGATCAAAAGGAATCTCCATGATCAAAAGGAATCTCTATGGGCCCATCTAACATAATAGAAAATATAAACATCGTTGGAATTGTTCAACCGACCTACTGTTGGAGCAATATTAGAAAATATGAAAATAACATAAAAATTCCAATGATAATAATCATAAAGAAAATAACAACATCAATAGTATACAAGATTAATATAAACAACTAGAGATAAAGTTAGAAAAACTAACAAACTTGAAGATTGAGGCTTGCATAAATGCAATGTCCTAAAGATAGAATTTCGCCCCTACTCTTGTGCTTGTAGTTCGATAGGCGTCCATCTCTCAAGATTCAACAATCTATAATCCGAAGTCAAAGCACTTCAATATTCGGACTCTGGCGAACTTTGTATATTCTGTACTCTCAAGACACGACTCGGAATTTAACTCACAAAGCATGAGAGAAACAAAGTGGGGAAACCCTACTTCTCAAGAGTAAAAATCAACTCTAATTTTCTATATCTAATACCAATGGTTTCATGGATTTAAATAGAATCTAATTTTTACTTATTAAAGAGATGTAACTTTTCATCTATTAGTAAGTATACATTACTTATCAAGGGAATACACCTAAAAAACATAACCTTTCTAAGAAATTGGTTAATAATATTTTTCATTCAATTATTAAATATTTCATATTATAATATATAATTTCCAACACCTAGCTCTGGGATTAGTTGATGGGACTGTATGTTCGGATTGACCAAACTTGCCACCGGGCTTAGAACGCGGTTGGGTTAGGGTAATTCGTCATTGGAAGTCTTAACGAACCATTTCTGGTACTGTTCATTTTTAACGTTAATGATATTTTTACTCTAAAAAATCACTTCTGATACTATTCACTTACAACAACTTTTTGTCATGTTGGTTAAAACTCAAAGTTTTCAAGTCTTTTTCATTAGTTTTCATTTCGTCAATCAAGTTCAGCTTATACTCCTCTTAACAAAGAAAATTTCGAGTGTAACATGTGTACACAATCATTTACTTATCTTTTCAGGTGTAATAGGTGTAGACAATCATCTACCTATCTTTCTCATTACTGAAATTATGTGATCAGTGGAGGAACAAGAATTATGGTCCAGGAGGGGGCCAACACGCTTTTCTTATTTTTAAAAATTTAAGCATATCTTGCTTCGACTAACTTTCGTTTAGGTTTTGAATGATGAGTATCCACAAATCTAGACCTAAACTTGCGATATTACGCCCACAAAATAAGTGAGGGAGTCATAAATTTTGGAATGTGATTTCCATACTTCTTTTTCTCCTTCTACACTATATTCATTCTAACTGTTAAATTGAATAAATGAGAATAGTATTTACAAACATTAATATATAAAAATGTGTAGAATGAGAGAAAAATATGTGAAAGAATCATTTTCCTAAATAATATAATAAAAAATAATTGTGTAAAACCTTAGAGAAAGCTTCAAGGAATAAAACAAGGGTAAAAAATGAACCCCAAGTCTCTCAACCTCCTCTTTCTCGCTATCCTCCTCAAAGCTCCATGGTTGCCAGCCTCCTGAACTCCACCAGAGCCCTGAGCCTACGAAAAAAAACTCAAAGCATAGCATGGTATTAATTTTTTGAACTTGAAAAAAAAAAAATAAAAGGTCAGGATAGGCCTGAAACCATTGTAGTCCTTTCATTGCTCCGCCAGTGCATGTAATGAGAGAAATATATGCATGATTATATACGAACAATGATAGAGAAGTTTTTCTACTTTCCAACCTATCATCCATGCATGACTTATATCTCAAGTTTTGATCCAATCTATCTGTGTTGCACCCCTATTTCTAAACTACACTTTTATAAGAGTTTGGACTGGATCAAGTCACTAAATGTTTGTGATGGGCCAAGTTAACTTGATTGGGCTTCTTCACAATAAGACCCATATGCTATTGAGCAACAATGTTGACTTAAGTTCCGCAGTGTTTGGACTGCTAACTGGATGATATTCGATTAAATTCTATTATCCATCCTTACGTAAATTAATCCTATTATCTTATTCCTAAATACAGCTTGTAACAAAGTCGTTTTCTTTTTATCCGTAACACCTACGTTTAAACAAAGCATATTTTAAAGCCATTATTTTGTCACAATGTCACAAGACAAAATCTCAAACCTCTCCAGATCACCTATAAAACGAAGCCAATTTTAACATGCCCAAATCCTCCCCTCCATCTCCCACCATCTCTACCTCTTATCTCCCCACCATGGACGACGGCGGGCAGCATCATGGATTCAAACTCAGCCCTGAACTCATCGGCCTAATTGGCGTTGCAGCTGGAGCCATAATCGTCGCGACGTACCAATGCCTTGTCAACCACATTTGTTGCAGCCAAATGCGCGTAGAAAACAACATACAACAAGAACAAACACAAAATGAACATGAACAGCGTCTTCAAGGGCATCACATCAACCAAAACCTCAGATCAACAACTGCACGCAGCGTTAACTCGCCCTCCTATGATCAGTTGATCCCGGTTTTCAAGTACACCAAGGAATGCAGAGAAGGAACCTGCGCCGTTTGTTTGTGTGAATTTACCGACGGTGAGAACATCCGTGTACTGCCGGAATGTGTGCACTTGTTTCATGTGGGGTGCATTGACATGTGGCTCAGCTCCCACTCTAACTGCCCTCTTTGTCGAACTGATATTATTCCTAGACGAGCACCGCAGCATGTTGTTCCTCCTCCGCAAGATGTTGTGACTCCTCCTCTGCAGAATACTTTGCCTTCACCACAACATGTTGTGATATTGATGCCAAATTTCGGCGCGGTTCATAGTATGAGTACTTGATCTTTGGAGTCATGGATTGATGGCTTTTATTTTTGAGTTGCTTAAACTACTTTTGTTTAAAAGAGTGTATCTAGTTAGACTTGCTCAAATTAGCGGGTGTTTTGGTGAATGAAGAAAAATGGAGGAGGTTTCATATTAGTGTGATGATTTTGCCACTCCAATTTAGCTTCTGACGCTCTAACTTGAGTATCTTATAATTATTGTACACTCGTAATGGCGAAACCTAAAAATGGGAGTCATTTTCTTCTCTTATCGCGATGGACTATAGGATTGTTGTAAAAGTCGTCCTGCCAGTTGCACGACGAATTCTAGTTGCTCTCTCAATCAATCCAACCTGCCAAAGTTGCACAGCGATAGGCAATTACCAGTTGTTCTATAGGTAGTCAACTTCAAGTTTTGTTTCTTGTTCATCCGTACCATACTTAGTGGAGCTCTGGCCCAATTTTGTATGGGCTGGTTTAATCCAGTCTGCTCTGTATCCATCACAGAGGACCCAAGTACAGACAAGATCCCTTATTAATAGGACCAAGACAAAGCTGGTGTAAAAAAATACCAACATCAAGGTTTGTGATGTTGTTGAGTTTATACTTTGGTTTACAGCTTGCTTTTGATAAGGGTGATACTAATCTTAGTATTGAGATGGTTCCTAAGGTTATTGTTATGTTGTTGAAGCAAACGTTGATGATTTCCATCCTTTGGACACAATTATGCATAGCTATATATTAATGATAAGACAATTGAGGATATGTGAGTTGAAACACATTTACAGAGAGAGAAGAATGTTGTGACGGATCATTTGGCTAACTGAAGTTTTAATATGGATGTTAGTGTTCTTGAATTTGATGAGCCTCATGTTTGGATTAGACCAGCTCGCATAGATGATGCTACTAGAGTCCCTTAGGCTCAGTTTGTGTATGCTGATATTTTATAGTTTGCTATTTGAGTTGAATTCCTCATTCTTCCTAAAGAAAAGATATACCAACTTGTTGAATATCTATCCATAAATTTTTCAGTGTGGTTGTAACTCTGCTATGGATGCTTCTAATTTATCCATATTAGCCCGTATGACATATCACTGCATTTGAATTATTTTTAACACCCCAAAATAGTGATAACACATGCCTCAATTACTGTTTTACAAAAGAAAAGTTGGAATGAGAAGAATGCATGACTACGAATTTGGGTTGCCAACAATAGTTCTCTACCACATAAATATAACAAAATTATATGTATCTTGAATGTGAGATGTTCATTTCAACTTTTTAAAAAGTAAACTATCTAATATACATTGTTACGTAATAAATAATTAGTGACACGAGAGAATGACTAATAAGTCATATCTCACCATGATCATACTAACTGTGGTAAAATATGGATCCATCATCAAAATTACTTGAAACTTGTCCTCAAACCCCACACACGTTCCCATCAATAATTGCTCTTCACAAACCCAAAGAAAACTCCACCACAACACCTCAAACAAACAAAAACACAAATAGAACCCCAAAACCTCACCTCTCTCTCTCTCTCTCTCTCTCTCTCTCTCATCATGGACAGCGCACCCCCCGTTTTAAACAAACCACCGCCACCTTTCCTCATGGACAGCGCACCCACCTTTCTAAACAAACCACCGCCACCGCCACCTTTCCTCATGGACAGCGCACCCACCTTTCTAAACAAACCACCGCCACCCTTCCCAGCACCGCCTCGGAGCGTTGACTTCTCCGCCCTTGAATTTATCCTCGGCCTCATCGCGGTCATCACCATCCCTGCTCTCGTCTACGCCTTCTTCTTCGCCATCAAGTTCCCTCCAAACCCTTTTCGCCGGCGACCCCACCGGACCTCCACCACCGCCCCCGGCCCCACCCAAACTGAACCCAACACCCAAAACAAAAACGACGTAATTTCGGAGCTCAAGTACCAGAAGGAAGCCCACGTTAAGGAAATCGGAACAGAGTGCCCTGTGTGCCTGTCTCTGTTTGCCGACGGCGAAGAGGTCCGGCAGCTTTGCGTCTGCAAACACTCTTTCCACTCTCTGTGCATAAACATGTGGCTTAAGGATCACTCCAACTGCCCCATTTGTCGAGCTTCAGTCGCCGTTGATCGGAGTAATGGTGATAATCGGACGGCGGCTGCTGGAGTAAGAGGCAGTGATGATCTGCAACAAGGTTTGCCTGATGCTTCTGCCATGGTTTGACAATTAATTCTTTCTGGGATTTTGGTGGCTTAATTCTTTTTCTCTTTTTCTTTTCCGAAGTTTTTCAAAAACTCGCCGACAGAAGTTGTAAACTTATATCTGTAGTGAGAATTAGGGTTTGAGAGAAATGCCAGGAACTAGTAGTTAATCTATGATTTCTATAATTTGAAGACCATCTGAAATTTGAATTTTCATATATTTCTGGGTCGCTGGTGGATATCACATATATATATATATAAAAAATATTTGGGGGTTAAAGATTGAAACTTGAAACTCATACTGTTCGTGTTTTTGATCTGTACACACCAGATGATGTTGCATTTAAATTTTAATTCTCATTTAGTTTTTTTAATGTAATCACAGTCTAACACATACAAATATAATTGATTAAAATCACTGAAAGAAAATTAAAACACTGAAGAGGATTTTTGCTTATTGATGGAGAACATTTTGGCATTTTGCTACTGTTTTGAACTTCTTCCTGTAGGTTAAAAAAAAGTATGACTTTTAAGAGATTTTTAAGATTTAACCAAAGTTTATTTATTTATTTATTTGCTTGGTGAGTATTGACAAAGAGTGTAGTGGAGTGGTTGAGTCATAAAAGTTTTCTTTAAACCAGTATGAGTTCATACTACACATAATGGTGTTATTGTTCTCTGAAATTTAATTAAAAATTATAAACAACCATTTTTTTTTGGGTCAAAAACAACCAAATTAACAAACGTTTTATTGGACCATATTGCTTACATTGATAAATTACAATATTATATAGCAAGAAGTTGCCAAGAATCTACCTTTGGAGAGTTGTCAACAACCCATTTGATGTTTCATAAATGGGTGAGTGATAAATTTTTTAAACTAAATTTGCAAATCAAATGATGTGATTATAGATGATTAAGTTTAATTAAATGTTGGTTAACGTGCTTGTTTTATATAGTTGACACACATTGGATTTGCAATTTGGTTTAAAATGAGAAAATGTTACACTTACCTCTAGTTGTACCATTATTTGTATCATTATTCTAATAGAGGTAGGATCCGTCAACGTATGTGAATTCCATCTTTATTAGAGAGATCGTACAAATGATGATACATCTAGATAGTAAAAGTAGCTTTTTTATTAAAAAAATTGATCTTCCTAGCATTATTCTTTGTAAATAAGTTGCCACATCCCTTCAAATATACATATTCTTTCGGTACTGTTTTTAACAAGGACTTATCCTTCAAAAGGAAGGTCGATGATCATGCAGAACTTCTAATCTTATCTTGAAAGCAGAGATATTTTCACATGCAACTGGAGATATATTCGGCTCATCACATGATCAATGTTGTGTACAATATTTGTTTTGTGCTTATTTGGACAAAGGAAAAAAAGGTTACCTTTATGGGGATTCCAAATGCATGGTTAAATGAAGGCAAAATTTTCAATGTCACACCAATAAATTGAGTCCTCGTATAACGAGGCCCACTTCGTACCAAAGCCTGTACCCATTCCCATTGTCCTATAATCTTATAGTTGGTGAAATTCACACTTATTTTTATTTTTTACATATTTTCTTAATTTTTTGTCGTCGGATTAAATAAAGAGGTGTGATATCCATACATCCTATTTTACTTCTCACACATCCTTCTAATTTTCGGCGGTTAGATCGGATGAATTGAAGAAGATCAACGAATATAAATTAACAAAGGGTGTGTGAGAAGTAATTTAGGGTGTGTGGATAGCACACCTCTAAATGAATTGAAGAAGGTCAAATGACAAAATTAACAAAGGCTGTGTAGAAAGTAAAAATAAAGAGGTATTTGTCGAAATTCCCCCCTAAACTTGTAACTGATTACCAATTTACCCTCTCAACTTTAATTTCTGTCAATTACCCCCCTAAATTTTTGTTTATGGCTAAATTCCCTCCTGCCGTTTAAATTTCTCACATTTTATCCATGATTTATACTAAAAAATAAAAAAATAATAAAGAAACCACCCTTCCCACCCACCCCAAACCTCGAACCACCAGCCACCCCTAATTCTAGATGCCTACCCATTCCCCACCCAACCCACAACCTCAAACGGCAAGTCCCAGATTCCTGATTGTGATCCCCCTTCCCCTTCTCTATGCGAATCCACACCACACCCCACGCGGCCGATCCCCTCCCCCCCCCCCCCCCCCCCCCCCCCCCGGACTATTTTGGGGAAAATTTTTAGGTGTACCCTCACTCATTAGAATTTTTTTGGTGTACAAAAAGTGAGGGTGCACCAAATTTTTTTGGTGCACCCTCACCATTATGAGTGAGGGTACACCAAATTTTTTTGGTGTACCGGGTACACCGAAAAATTGCTCCTATTTTGGAAGCCCACCCACAACCCCGACAAGTCCCAGATGCTAATCCTTTCTTTTTGGTCGAATCCCATATGCTAATTCAAAAAGGAAACAAAAATGTTTGGATCCAAATGACTACTTTGACCTCCAAACTAACGGAACCATGGACAAAATGTGTGACACTTAAGGAAAGATGGGAATTTGGCCATAAATATAGGGAAGTAATTGGCTAAAATTAAAGTTCAGGAGGTAAATTAACATTAGGTTACAAGTTAAGGGGGAATATCGACAAATAGGCCTAAAAATAAATGTATGGATAACATCATTCTAATTGATGCGAGATTTATACGCGCACAAATTAAACCCTCTTTTTGACAATTGTAGTATAAGTAAAAGTAGGGATCGTTCTGGACCGGGGATTAGGAGGGATTGTTAATCACTTGGATTTTGACTTAAGAACGTAAAAACAAGATAAAACACTAAACTAGACTCAAAGAATGTGAAACTAAACGTTAAAACACTAAGACAAACCAAAAGACTCAAAATGCTTTAAAAACACAAACTAAAATGATTTCTAACTAAAAAGAACAAGAAAGTAAAAGGGGGGGGAAAAAGTTTTGATTTGACGAAAATTGAAATAACAAAACAAAGTAACAAACTAAGCGGAATGTAAATATGAATTTGTGATGGAATGAATGGAATGAAGGCTAGCTAAGGGGTTCTTCTCCACACATGTTATACTTGCATACAAGATTGATTCTCAGTTGGTCTTTCGATAAATTATGAAACTCAACACTCCGGATTAATTAGGTCCGCTTAAATTAACCGTCAAGTTTTCCTTAAGTTAATGAATTGGATGGGTTTGCGCAACGCAATTCACAACATTCTCCAAAAGTCCTTTACGTGAACAGCACAATAAAGATACAATCAAAGATCATTAAGCATTATGAAAACTATAAGTGTTGACGAGGCATTCGTTACTATGATGAGCATGAAACTCGTGCCAAGAATTCATTTAACGCGATTGTTTATAAGCAACCTCCACTACTTGTGAATATAAGTTCATAACGATTAGGTGAAATTCACTTATATTCTAGCGTCATATTTATGCATGAAAATTAAGCGCGCATTCTTAATAAACATTCATAAATAAGTTATCAATCAAACGGTTAAACAAATTGAATTCACAACTTATGAAATTCCAACGAAAGTTAATCAATTCATATTGCAAATATAAACATAGTTTCGAATCACCCCCTAGCTAAAGGGGGTTTAGTTCCTCATAACTTTGAAATCAAAGAAACACCTAAACATTCCAACAACTCAAAACTTGAATTGTATGAACGTTTAAGCACTCTTCTCTTCCATTCCTTATACGTACAAAACAAAGAGAATTAAAATGAAACTTTGAAATCAAAGAAACACCTAAACATTCCAACAACTCAAACTTGAATTGTATGAACGTTTAGGCACTCTTCTCTTCCTCGTTGTTGTAGCACAAGGTTTAAGGATAGGTTGGTTGGGGGGATGGAAGTGTGGAATGGAGTGGAAATGGAGAAGATGGAGAAGGGGAAGTGTTTGTGTATTACAATGGAAAATGAGATGATTTGGTGAATGGAATGAATGGGTATTTATAGGAAGAGAATGGGTGTTAATGGATGTTTGTTTAAGGTATTTGGTGGATGGGAAAAGGTGTGGATGGTGGGAATTATGGTGGATGGATGGTTTAGTGGATGTAATTTAGGGTTTATTTAGGTGAATGTGGATGCATGGTTTAGTGGATGTAAAGGATAATGGGATGGTGTGGAATTAAAAGCTAAAAAAAATGGGATAATGGGCATTTAAGTGTGAATGGAATGGTGGGATGCACTAATGGAAATTATGGAATGGAATGGTGGGATGCACTAATGGAAATTATGGAATGGAATGGTGGGATGCACTAATTAGGAGGAAGAATTAGGGTGAAGGGCTTAATGCATGGATTTGGGCCTAAAATGCCTCCCCTTGCATGGCAAGGGAAAGGACTTGGGCTAAAGCCCACGGCATTGGTTGGAATTTGGGCTAGGGCATTCGTTTTGTGTCCTAAAGCGCCTACAAGGACTTCAAAGTGGCTAGAAAATACGGACGTTTAAGATTTAGGAAAGGTTACCAAAACGGGAAACTTAGGGTTAACTTTCCTAAAAATAGGAAACCTTGTTTGAGTAGGATTCCTCGTTTTGGTAAGAATTCATCGTTGGAGTAGGAATTCGTCATTTCTTCAAGTCTTCAACTCATTCATTCCTCTTTCGCTCCAAAAAGCTCCACTTTGCATCTTCTTGCACACTTTGGCCTTATAATCTGAAAATACACAAAAGTGGCCTTAAACACTGAAATAGATAAGTAAACACAACATAAATGCACGAGAACAAGCTAATTAAGTCGCATGAATATGCTCCTATCACTAATCCTATTTGTGTCTTGAAACACAAAGACTTTTCCCCAAGATTGATTCATACAGTCCTTAGTTATATTTATTTTGGAGCATACTTGGCTATTCAAAAGATAAGTAAGAGCTTCTACTCAAAACTTTATGTTTCTGATTTATAGAACTTCGTATTTATGATCAGAACCATTCATGTAACAAATTACTATATAAAGATCATCTCTGAGAAAAAAAGAATAAATTAAAACTAAGGTCTTTTAGACATTGAACTATATGAAAATTGAGAGACATAAATGGTAAAAGCATTACAATCTATTTCAGTTTGTTATAGTTGATTGATTAAACGATCTTAGTTTTAATTCATTTTTTTGCAAAGATGGTCTTTATAGAGTACTTTTCATTATATAAATGGTTTCGATTATAAACACTAAGTTCTTTGAATTGAACATGAAGAATTTTGAGTAAGAATTCTTAATCATTCTTGAGTAGCCAAACATTGTTTTTTTTCTCTCCCAATCTTAGGAGAATATTGCCAAGCATTGCTTTTTATTATATGAGCTCTCAGATTAATTTTAAGGTGGATTAAGCTATCAACTTAAATAAACCCCGTTATACCGAAACACAATAATCCCGCAAAATGATTATGTTAAATAAAATTGGATGTGTAAAGTTATTAGGGTTTTATACAATTGGATTTGCTGGATTTAGATATTCGACAAAAAGATTAGGTTTTGCAACTGAAAGAGATTCGACATGACGTGAAACCTTTTTCTCATTTTTTTATTAGTTAGTATTTATTTTGTTTTTGCGTAACAGAGATTATTTAAGTTGATATGAAAAAAAAAACTTGTGAGGTCCTCAAAATAATAACCTTAAGAGAGCAGCTATGTAATTTAAAAACGATGATAAATTAAAAACTTTAAGGAGTATGGTTGAATTCCTCGTACTAATATTTAAGTTAGAATTAGCTTTAATAGTAGTGTTAAATCTGATCTTGAGGCTACTTTGGGTTTCTTAATAAAAAAATGCTAATTGTCACATATGTTATATACGTATCTTTTTCTATTGGTCTTTTTTTTTTTGTGTTGCAAGCTGAGGCTATAATTATTCAAGAGACGTTATATTAGATAGGTCTCGTTTGGCTATTCGTATAAGTGATCGAATAAGATTAATAATATAGATCTAGTTGTTAGGTGCACTTATGTATTAAATAGTACTCATAGAATTTATCCGGTCTCACTTTTGAGGTTCAATTCACACTTGCTTGGATATCCCTCTAAAAAGCTCGGTGTAATAGTTGGGGCCAATGACACGCTCACTCTCGCTTCCTCTCTCTCTCATTATCTCTATTTCCTTCTCTAGTTTGTTTCTTGCACAGAAACACGAAAAATCAACTCTCTGATTTAATGATATTCACGATTTTTTTTTTCTATATCCGAAAAATATTCGAATTTTAATCTCCAAATTTGCCCCACGGCCACGATTATAGAGTCACAATTGGGTCTTAGCTCAAGACTCCTCCCTCCAAACATCCGCCCAAATAATCCACAAATCTCTCATCTTTTTTTTACCAATTTTCCCAAAAATAGTATTTATTGAATATAACCAAAAATTAACTCTTAACTTCAAAAATGTCATTTTTTATAAAAACTTTCAAATATATCCAAAATTTTACTTAAATAGACACAAATACCTTCAAATTTAACAATTAAATAAATTAAAGGCTTTTTAGATACTGTCACCTCAAGCTCCGGTTCAACTTCACCTTCGCTTCTACACTCCACCACCACAACCCTATCCCCTTTGACCCCGTCATCACCGACATTGATCACTGCCGCAGTTACTGCAAGTGGGAGCAGCATAATTTCAATCATGCCTTCAACGTCTTTTTTCTTACTAATATCATTTTTAGTTTTAAATATAAAAATAGTTTTTAAAGTTAATCCACATGTCATTATATGATTGTATTTGTGAGACCCATGTGACACCACATCATCACACTAACAGAGCAATTAACAAATTTTTCACAAAAAAAACTAAAACGATCACGATGAACAAATTCAAAGAAAGACTAAAATGATTCACGATAGATAAATTCAAGAACACTACTATTGATTATCATTAATTGTTAAGGACCAGATTAAGGAGTTATGTCAATGTCACGAATCATTTAGGCTAAAAAGTCTTTAATATATTTGATTGTTAAATTTGAAAGTATTTGTGTTTATTTAAGTGAAATTTTAAATATATTTAAAAGATTTTATAAAAAATGATATTTTTGAAATTAAGAATTAATTTTTGATAAATACTCTCCCAAAAACCCACCTCACCGCCATGAAAAGAGCTCGCTCTCAATGGCTCATGATTTTGACCGCCACTTCCCTCCTCTTCCTCTTCCTCTTCCTCCTCACCCTAACTCTCGCCGGACACGGTAAATACTCCTCCTCCGCCGCGGCCGATTTTTACTTCGAGCAACGCGAATTCACTACCCTCGACCGGAATTTCGAAGACGTGACGGAGAACACCGACGACGAAAACAACCACCGGTTGGGGCTTCCGAAACGATTCGCCTACCTCATATCGGGCTCCAAGGGCGATGGCCCCCAGCTGCGGCGGTTTACCACCCAAGGAATTACTATTTACTCCACCTATCTCGAAGCTTCTGATGTTGAGCGGCTCGAGCTGGAGAAGTACGTGTAATCGGAGGGCGCGATTCGGGAGTTTCGGAACGCGATGGTGATCGGGAACGCCAATTTGGTCACCGCCAAGGCCCCACCATGACTGCCTCCACGCTCTACGCCATTGCGATTTTGCTGAAGCGGGCATTGGGATTGGTTTATTAAGCTTTACTATTTGCGGTAAATCTAGTTAATTTTTTTGATTAAGGGTTAATTATGTTTACTAATTATTATTTGGGTTATCTAGATCTGTTGCATATATTTTCGTTCTTGCCAAGGGAGCTCAATTTCTTGGAGCACACAAGCAATATTGGTTGGAAAGAGTGAGTAAAGCATAATGCTTTTTAAATTTTAACATGTTTGTTTCGAGTTCGAGCGTTGGACGTGGTTTTTATAGTTTCTCACATTGTGCAAATGTTGCAGAAATCAAAGAGCAAGGCCTGTTATTATTGATCCTGGTTTGTACCACTCTATGAAATCCGGTGTGTTTTGGGCGAAAGAGGGAAGATCAATTCCGGCTTCGTTTCGTTCAAGTTATACATGGGTACTACTCCTTTACACTTAAGCATAGCATACGTTGTTCTGCTTTAGTTATCTTGTGCTGGCTAGGATAGAAGTGTATGATTTCCTATTTTCCAGTTGAGTCTATGAAAGCTAGGACCGAGTGGATTCTGCTAGTACTGCTAATGGATGCTTGTGTGTGCTAATACAATGTATGCATCAACACTTGTTATACTAGTGGTAGGGTTTGTTAGGTGAATCGGAAGTGATGACATGGAAATGGTTTCACAATTTTCATACCCTAAACCCTATTAATACTGCTTCAAAAAGCCCAAAACAAATTTGGTTCTTTAGTTTTAAGCTTTCTGTACAGCCTCCTTACTGTAATTTTGCATTACATCATTTACCTTGAGAAGAAAAAGCATAAAGTATCTGGTATTTCTTAGAACTATGTGTTCAATGTGCTTTCTTCAAATAACCAATGCAGCTTTAGCGCCGAGTACCATTTCTAATGAAATTAGATAATTTCTGTGTTTCGCAAGACTGGAGGCATTCGATTATCTCCAACATCAGTATGATATTGGAAAACGTACCATCAGTGTTTCTTTAGATTTTTAACAAGTGTGCTGTCGCAATAGTCATGTTTAACACTTAAGTTGTAACCTGGCGTTTTTATATATTTGGTTTTTGTGACCTTGATTGGGAGTCTGAATGTGCCATTTACTTGATGCAAACTAACTTATTGTACTTGTTGGGAACTTGTAGTGGATTGTGGAACTGTAATCTATCTTTGTCAGTTGCACTCTCTGTGGCTGATGGTTTGTTGTACCATTTGATTTTGCACACCTTGAACCTAAAACTTTCTACTTTCAGGATCGACGTGGGTGGTGCTGACGAAGTAATTTCTCGGATTCTGTGTTTGGGGTGGGACAATCTTCCCCGTACTTTCCTCATGTACTACACCAACTTCTTGTCATCCCCAGAGGGCTACTTCCACACTGTTGCCTGCAGCCATAAGGACTAAGCGTGAATCATAACCTGCATTATATAAGGTGGAATAGCCCACCGAAGGCAAATCCAATCAATCTAACGTTGGAACATTACAACGACATGGTCCAAAGCGGAGCTCCTTCTACCAGTACATTTGAAGGACGTAATGTGTCTTTTTATTTCTTCTCTTTTTGTGTTAAGCTCTGACCCCCCCATGAATCGTTTCTGCCACGATAGGACGTAATGTATCTGTATTACGGATTGTCATACTATTGTTGATCTTCAAGCTCCAGACTGCTCAATTCAACAGTAACAACTAAGGATTCAAAGACGAAGGTTTTTTCATCACAAAAAGAGAAGAAATGAAAACAAAACAGACTGATCGGACAGTCGTAGGTTAATCAGAACTTCATCTCACAGCAAAAAACATTTAAATGATTAGTGGCTTCGCCCGGGTTCGAACCGGAGACCTTCAGTGTGTTAGACTGACGTGATAACCAACTACACCACGAAACCTTGGTAATCTAATCCAGCACCACATACTATAATACTACTAATAAAAATCAAACACAGGCTGACCCACTTGGATGGGCAATTTCGTCAATTGGTCTCTGGGCTTCCCTTTGGGACCTGGGTTCATCTGAGACTGTTCCTACTTCGTATTCGCGGAAAGCGGGAACTCCAAATATGCTGCAAAAACCCCTCTAGTTTTAGGGTTTCGCGTTCCTCCTTTCGAAAAGCTTAACCTTCCCTCTTCAGGTTACATATTTCACTATTTTTCCAGTTGAATGCCTCCATTTTTTTCATTATCTGTTGAAATTTAACCCCACAAATACATGATCATTGAAATTATTTTTTAAATTATTTTCTGTACTTTTTTTATTGATGAACAATATCTGGATTCTCATTGTTCTAGTAAATTTGAACTTCATCAATTTGCTCACTCTCTATTTTTTTAATTCAATTAGTTTTTGGTCATTCTGAGTTGATTTTTTTTTTTTTTTTTTTGGAAACTCATCAATTTGGTCTCTTTCCTTTCATGATGCAAAAAACAAATTCAAACTGTAAACACCTAGTTTTTTTTTTTGAATTTTTATGTTGAATTTGCAGGAACTTAGGAATTTGAGGATCACTGCCAAGTGTAGATACTAGAACAATATGGATGATAATTACTCAGGGGATTCTTCTAGTGGATTCTCTCAGAAAGATTCTAGTGCAGCAAGTTCTGTTTCAGCTTCAGTGATGAACAATACAGCTGCTTCCGAGAGTGCCCAAAGTTCTGTTGAGATGTGAGTCAAGTGGCTTATTCGTTTATTCGCTCTTCGTATCCATATGTTATCATTTGAAAAATTTTGAGTTCTGAAATGCAGCTGCTTGATGGCTGCATCAAGTGGCATTTGTTTCTCAAAAACGTTTTCTTTTTTTTTCTTTTCCTTTTCTTTTTGTTCCTGCAGAAATGCACCAAAGAAGAAAAGGGCATCGGCAATAATGGCGGGAGGTCTGCGAGAGTTCAGTTCAAGAGGTCAGTAATTCATAAGAACGATTCAGATTTGTGTGTATGTGTCTGTGAAATGAAAGAAGACTATCGTATTCGTTGTAATAGATTACTACTTGTAGGAGATGGGGCTAGTCAACATCTTATTCTCTTCTTCTTTTTCAGTTTGCAACATATTGGAGAGCAAGGGAACAACAACCTTATCTAAGGTATGTTTTCTTTATTTTTCTAGAGTAACTATGAAGTTTGTTTGGTGAAGGAGCGTTGGGGAAAATAATTAAGAGATCCCTTACGTAGTAGCTAGTAACTGTTTATAGGATCGTGTATCTATGGTTTTTCATTGCGGATAATGGGTATGGCTTCTCATTTAATTAAATTTTGGAGTTCGTCGTGGTTATGTGAAGGAAAGTTTTCCAGTGCCACCCAATCTTCAGAGTTTTGTAATTTATTTTGGCTTATCTGACCAGTGAGTGGTTGAGTATCAGTATTTATAGTGATGATGTTCAGGTTGCAGATGAGATAATTTCTGAGTTTTCTGGAAATGACTGTGAAACAGCAAAGTGTTCGAAAGAGGTTCGATTCAGAACAATACATGGAACTGATTTTTGAGTTATAATAATCATTACTTTTACCATGATTTTTCCATCATGAAAATTACTCAAGTATGTTGTGAAAATGATTTTTCAACTTCTCAGTTTGAAAATGTACGACGTCGAGTATATACTGTGTTCCATGTTCTTGAGGCACTGGATATCGTCACAACAGCTAAAAAGGAAATCAAGTGGAAGGGGCGTCCTCCAGACAGAAGTATAATGAATCTGGAAGGGATGAATGTTAGTGAATGTCATTATCTTGATCATGTGATACCTCAACATACCATACGATAATGGGATGGAATAATTTGACAATGTTGATTTGGTTTTTGATCCTTTCAGGAAGAGTGTGTCAAATTGGTGAATACGATTGGAAGGAAGACGGCACACTTGAAAGAATTAGAGGAGCAAGTAACGAAGTTTTACATACTTTACGTCTGGTTTTCTTCGTTCATGATTTTGGAGTCTTTTGTGTTGTTAGACTCTTATTCTGTCATTGTAGGAATGGTTTAGCTAGTATGACTTGTGTTGGAACATTAGTTGTTAAATTGCAATAACCAGTTGGCGTGATTTCTTGTAAAAAAATCTATAAAGACTAGAAAATATAGAATTTAGCATTGTTTAATTTGTCCCAAAGAAATTACTCTACCGGCTTATGTTCTAATCGTCTTTTTTATTTTTGTGGAAATATGTTAAAGATTGCAGATCTCAAAGATTTAATGTTGCACAATAAGCAGTTGCTCAAGAATGGGAACACTCTTCCTGAAGGATTTTCGTTGCCATTTATACTGGTTCAGGTATATGACTTTGTTGTCCTCTGTCTGTTTTGCATGACTATGACTTGTCTAAAGTTTAAAAAAAATCTGTTCCGAGTCCTAATGATCGCACAACTGAAGCATGCATGCGGTTCTCATTCCTTTTGAGTTGAATGTGTAGGAAAGGATAGTATGTTGAAAGGAAGGCATACCCTGTTCCTAATGTTTGTACCATCAATCAACCATCCGTATCCATAGTTCAATTTCGTGTAACGTCTCTAACTTTCTTTAACACATTCAAATCAAGTGCGAGAAGTATTGGTTTTACAAGGATTAGAATCATGGGTTCTAACTTGTATAAATACATAGGGTTCACAATATAAGCAATGTATTCAACAGCTTGTCTATGTGTATGACCAGTAATTACAGTTTTCAATTCTTTTCCGTCTCTAGACAAGCTCTCATGCTAGTGTTGAGGTTGAGATTTCCGAAGACATGCGCATGGTGTACTTCGACTTCAATAGGTATCCATATACATACATTGTGTTGCTTTGGAGACACTTTAAAGTAGTTCTGAATAATCGTTCTCTTACTAGTTAAATTGTCTTTTTGGCAGTACACCCTTCTCCTTGCACGATGATGCAACCATTGTGAAGTTATTGCAGCGTCACCAGCGGCCAGAAAGAACAAATGCTTCTCAAAGTGCTTCAGTTCACTCGTCTCCACGCTCCGGCGCTCTGACCAGACCTTTCCGCTGGAACTCCGAAACAGATATTCCTAATTCAAAATGAACAAATGTTGAGATGGTACCAAACGGAGACACACCTATTACCAGAACTCTGTATAAATCGTTCTGAATGTTTTGAAGGTCTCAACAATTACCTCTGAATTATATGGTTTCATGTAAGTCTCTTCGACAACTCGAGCCTGTGTTATCAAATGTGCACTTTGTTTCAATTTTTTGGTTTAAGGAATTTGCTGATACTTTAACAAGCTTCATACTCTGAGGAATTTGCTGGCAGAGATCTTCGTGGAGAGTGACTTTTTTTTTTTTTTTTTTTTCCCGCACCCCCCTAACCTAAAGGGACCGTTATTTCTCTTCAAAATTGCGCCACGTGTCTCTTTTACTAGCCATGGTTAAGCAATGTATTTAATTAAATCTCCACTTAAAAGAAAAATAATTTCGTGAAATTTAAAAACTTAATGTTTATTCTTTCATCAATCTCCCACCAATTAAATTATTGGATTGATGTTGTGATTCGAAATGATACAGGTGAATTCGTGGCTGGGTGTGCAGTGCAGGTGCATATAAGCGTTGGTGCAACTGAACTTGTGTTGGTGCTGGTAGGCTTGTGTGGCAGAGAGAGTGAGGGCTGGACATTTAAGAAAAAAAAAAAAAAAAACCGTTTGAACCACCGGAACTGCACCGACGGTTTGGTTTTTTTTTTTTTTTTTATGATGGTTAAACTGAACCACACCAACTTTAATCGGTTTGGCGATCGGTTCTCAAAATTCTTAAGGTGCGGTTAACCAAACCAATCCGCATATATTTAATTTAATTTTTTTAATTATAATTAATACGTGTAGTTATATAAATAGTTAGTTATTTACGAATTACCGCATTTCAACCACATGAAAACAAAACCTGATTAGTTTAAGAGTCCCCTTCGAGAAGAATAAGAGCACCATTTGGAGACTGCAGCAGTTGTTGCTTTGGTGCTATTCTTGGATTGCTTCATTTGTGCTTTCCTTTGAGCAATCACTCACATTGACCAGATGTTTTGTAGCTTTTGGAAGAGAAATTTATTATGTATTTTCATGTTCACACAAATTGAGAACCAATACATATCAACCCGTCACATTCGGTTAACCGACTTAATCAATTTTAAACCCAGCTGGATTGGTTTCGGTTTGCAATTTTACCCAAATCAACCAGGTCAATTTGATTTTAGTTTTAGCCCAAAACCGATCCAAACCAACCCGTGCCCACCCTAGTGATTGTTTTGAAGTTGATATGAACGAAGGGTATGTTTATGAGCTAGCTTTCGAGAATCGAAATAATATCATGTAATTGGCAACGGCGAGATGACAACTTGGTGGCTCATGAAATTGCCATATTTGCTTTACATTGTTATTGTTTTCTGGTATGGTGCGGGCATGAACTTTTATTTTAAGGAAAAATAATAAAAATGATTTGAAAACTTTAAGTTTTAACGATAAAGACAAAATAAAGGGTAAAGTGAATAGTATCAGGATTGAATTTTTAATGTAAAAATATGATTTTTCGTTAAAATGAACAGTACAAAGAGTTTTTCGTTAAAATTCCTTTTATTTTATGATGATAGGAGGAAGGGGGAGTGTGAAATTAAAGATTGCAATCATTTATTATTTAAGGTGAGAGAATAGGAATAAATGGTAAGTTTTATTTTTAATTCGTTTATTTTTTTTTCCATAAATATTTAATCAAATACACAACATAATCATGGTTAGTGAATGTGACAAGTGTAGATTTTTTGGTAGGGGGACTAACTTTGTGTGTGTGTTTTTTTTTAATTGACGATAGCATCTATACTAAGCTAACGGAGGAAGTGGGTAAGTGGTCATCTTGGGTTAAGGGGTGAGCAAAAATAGTCTCTTTTTTTAGAAGAGAGAGACGCTACGATCTTCTCGGAGAGAGAGGATATGGAAAAGATTGAGGATTAGGCTGTATCCAAAGTTGATTTGTGTTTGAAGGTTGTTTGGTGTACAAAAACTCTAAATACGTACTTTCTGTGGTTTCATCAAATAAGTTTTGTTTAAGTTAATTTTTAGTTAACTTATGAAAACAAGCCTACAAAACTAGAATTTGAGTTTAACCATGACAAGTGGTCTAGTGGAAACGTAGTAGAATTTCCAATCAGGTTTGCTCCCCAATCTTTGTTTCGAGGCACGAAGCTAACATAAACACGGGTGATTTTCAAATTAAAAATTTTGGAAAGATATGTGTCATTTGATTGTAACGAGGAGTATGCTTAAATACGTTAACCCTTCCAAGCCTCAGTGGAGATTATTCCTACACTTTTGGGCGTGGGATACCTCATACTTCGGCTAAAAAAAAAAAAAAAAAAAAAAAAAAAAAAAAATTGGGTTTGAGTTATTAAAAATTGTATCTGAGTTGAATACCAAACGGCCCTAAGCATTCTTCTACTCTTCTTTGTAATGTTAAAACTCTTTAAGACTTGATTGTTAACTAACAAAACTAAATGATTAAAATTGGTCAATTTTAACAAATGTGAGTTAGACTAGTTGATCAAGATTCGCTCTCTTGCATTCGAACTTGAGTCCCCTTCTTAAATTTGAGTATTTTAGAATCTAAATGAGAAGCCATTATTGACAAGTCATCGTGCACTCCAAATTTACAGAAGCATGAGAAAAATTTGGAGTCCGACTTTAATGCTACGTAGCACTTAGTTTAACATGTGTTTTAGTCGTTAGATTTAGCTGTCATAGCAATTATATGTTTTAATTTTCAGTCTTAATCACTCACTTTCGTATCACTTAATGTTGCATGCCATTAAAGAAAAATTAAAAACTTTGCATTGAGAATAGTTCAGCGTGATATTTTAAAGTGGCACTAACACTTAAGCATTGGGATTGCCATATTTGCCATATTTGCTTTACATTGTTATTGTTTTCTGGTATGGTGCGGGCATGAACTTTTATTTTAAGGAAAAATAATAAAAATGATTTGAAAACTTTAAGTTTTAACGATAAAGACAAAATAAAGGGTAAAGTGAATAGTATCAGGATTGAATTTTTAATGTAAAAATATGATTTTTCGTTAAAATGAACAGTACCAAAAGCTTTACGTTAAAATTCTTTTTATTTTATGATGATAGGAGGAAGGGGGAGTGTGAAATTAAAGATTGCAATCATTTATTATTTAAGGTGAGAGAATAGGAATAAATGGTAAGTTTTATTTTTAATTCGTTTATTTTTTTCCATAAATATTTAATCAAATACACAACATAATCATGGTAGTGAATGTGACACGTGTAGATTTTTGGTAGGGGGACTAACTTTGCGTGTGTGTTTTTTTTTAATTGACGATAGCATCTATACTAAGCTAATGGAGGAATTGGGTAAGTGGTCATCTGATGTTAAGGGGTGAGCAAAAATAGTCTCTTTTTTTAGAAGAGAGAGACGCTACGATCTTCTCGGAGAGAGAGAGGATATGGAAAAGATTGAGGATTAGGCTGTATCCAAAGTTGATTTGTGTTTGAAGGTTGTTTGGTGTACAAAAACTCTAAATACGTACTTTCTGTGGTTTCATCAAATAAGTTTTGTTTAAGTTAATTTTTTGTTAACTTATGAAAACAAGCCTACAAAACTAGAATTTGAGTTTAACCATGGCAAGTGGTCTAGTGGAAACGTAGTAGAATTTCCAATCGGGTTTGCTCCCCAATCTTTGTTTCGAGGCACGAAGCTAACATAAACACGGGTGATTTTCAGATTAAAAATTTTGGAAAGATATGTGTCATTTGATTGTAATTAGGAGTGTGCTTAAATACGTTAACCCTTCCAAGCCTCAGTGGAGATTATTCCTACACTTTTGGGCGTGGGATACCTCATACTTCGGCTAAAAATAAAATAAAAATAATAATTTGGGTTTGAGTTATTAAAAATTGTATCTGAGTTGAATACCAAACGGCCCTAAGCATTCTTCTACTCTTCTTTGTAATGTTAAAACTCTTTAATACTTGATTGTTAACTAACAAAACTAAATGATTAAAATTGGTCAATTTTAGCAAATGTGAGTTAGACTAGTTGATCAAGATTCGCTCTCTTGCATTCGAACTTGAGTCCCCTTCTTAAATTTGAGTATTTTAGAATCTAAATGAGAAGCCATTATTGACAAGTCATCGTGCACTCCAAATTTACAGAAGCATGAGAAAAATTTGGAGTCCGACTTCAATGCTACGTAGCACTTAGTTTAACGTGTGTTTTAGTCGTTAGATTTAACTGTCATAGCAATTATATGTTTTAATTTCCAGTCTTAATCACTCACTTTCGTATCACTTAATGTTGCATGCCATTAAAGAAAAATTAAAAACTTTGCATTGAGAATAGTTCAGCGTGATATTTTAAAGTGGCACTAACACCCTAGAAAATATCCCCTTGTCAAAAGATTGCTAGGAAACAATTACAGGAAAAATGTGATTTGAACTTGAACTTTATGTAGTCAAAATTGGGTGTATTTTTGCTCACGATTTTCAAGTGTTAGTAATATTAACCGCTTTACTTATTATCATTAAATGAATTTAAATTTTAAAATTGTATGCATCCACTATACAAATGTCAAAATTTAAACACATCTAATAATAATATATAAAGTTGTAAACGTCACTATTATTTGACAGGGTTAAGCAAAATATTCCTCAAAGTCGTCTGCATGGCCATCGCCATATCGTATGGAGATTGGATCCAAGTCATTATCTGGTTCACAAATGATACTTTATTAGAAAAACTATGAAAATTGATTGAAAATTTTGAGTTTTAACAAAAATAATAAAAATGTGTTGTAAGTGAATAATATTAGAAGTAACTTTTTAAAGTAAAAATATCCTTAATGTTAAAAATAAATAGTAACAATGATATTTCGTTAAGATTATTTTATTAGAGGAGGAAAAAAGAAGTATCACATGGAGTGTGAGAAGTGAGAACGGCAACGAAGGGCGCGTGGGCAGAAGGGAGGGAGTAATATTAATATAATATTCCCATGCAAAAATAAAGCAAGAGAGTGGGGTAGGGGGAAGGGAACAGAGTGGACCGGGGTAAAAGGGTTCACTCGGTCGGACACTTGGACTGTGACCCTGTGAGGCCACTCCACCAAAGCACAAGAACCACCTTTTCTTTTTAATTAAACTAATGCTCCCATAACAAAATCTTTTTTCATAATTTAATCATGCATTATTTCATATTTTAATCATAAGATATTGGGTCATGTAGTCTTTTTATTTTTCAATTTACATTAAATTTATTTAATTGTGGGAAGAGAATTAGAGCTTTGGTAGAGTGTAGAAGCACTTCATTAAAATTTAGTTTGCATCAGACTATGATAGTTAGACATATAAATTTGACACACTTAGTAGTTATTAACATAATCTCTAACACAGTAAAACTAAATACAATGATAGAATTCATCTGTATTGAAAATGGTGTTGATAAGTGTATCAACATGAGAGTTGGCATGTAGAGGATCTGCACCAAATTAAACTAACACTAACACATACATAATATGATATAATACTTAAGCTGCTCTCCACACATACATAATAATTTATGAACAACATCATCAACTTTTTCCATTCAGGATGAGAGCCACTCATCTCTTTTTCCCCAGCACAGTACAGCACAGCACCCACAGTAAGAGAGAGAAGCTTATGGATTAAGAAACTGATAGAGGGAGAGAACATCCTTCTCAAAACCCTAAAAAGTAATAAAACAAAAAGAGCAGTCTTAGCATAGTGAGAGTGTGAAGGAACAATGTTCAACCAAAACAAAACAACAAGAAGAAGTAAAATTATTAGTATATAAATACATAAAAGGCTCCTCCTTTATTTTTGTTCCTCATCACTCCCACCCTCCCATTCTTTCTTTCTATCTTCCTTTCTCTCTCTCTCTGCAACTCTCTAGCTTCTCTCTCTTTGTTGTTGATGTGATTCTCTCCACTATTATCTTCAAAAACCCATCAACCTTTTACAAAAGAGAGAAAGAATTAAAGACCACCACAAGAGAGAAGCATGGTTTTCTCTTCCATTCCAGCTTATCTTGATCCAGCCAACTGGCAGCAGGTAACCTCTCTATCCACCTTCTTCAGCAACTTGGTTTTTCTCAGGGAATTTCTTTCCCCCAAAAAAGTGAAAAAACAAAAATTCAAAAGCCAAATATTCTTATTGCTTTTGTTTTATTTCATGATCTTCTTGAATATACCAGATATTTGATTTTTGCTTTTTAATTTGATTTTTCTCTCTTCTTTCATTTGCAGCAACCAAATCAGCACCACCACTTAACAGGAAGCAACACCAACAACATTAGCAACAACAACATCGACAACAACAACTCTCACTTCCTTCCACCTCCTCCGCAGCCGCCGCCTTCAAACCCTCATGGAGGCAGTGGGGTAGGTGGCTCAGGCTCGATCAGGCCAGGTTCCATGGCAGATCGAGCCCGCATGGCCAACATCCCCCTCCCAGAGCAGGCACTAAAATGCCCGCGGTGCGAGTCCACCAACACCAAGTTCTGCTACTTCAACAACTACAGCCTCACGCAGCCCCGCCACTTTTGCAAGACCTGCAGAAGGTACTGGACACGCGGTGGGGCCCTGCGTAACGTTCCAGTTGGCGGTGGCTGCAGGAGAAACAAAAGGAGCAAGGGAACCAGCAGCAGCGCCTCCAAGTCCCCAGCCAGCAGCTCGGACCCGCCAACCGGCTCGGCCAGTTCGTCAGGCCACGCAAATTTAGGGTTAAACAACAACAGTACGGCCGGCTCGGCGGATAATGATAACATGATGATGAGCCCGCAAATCCCACCGCTCCGTTTTATGTCGCCTTTCGCCACCGACATGGCTTTAAATTTCGGCATGATGAACAATAATTATGGAATTGGAGACTTGAATGGTTTTCATCAGATGGGGAGTGGTCCAGGAGCTAGCGGTGGATCGCTCTTTAATTTCCAGCAGCAGACGCCGTCGTTTCCTTTCATGGCGGGGTTGGATCCTACGTCAGCGGGGCTGATGTTCGAGAGCAGCGGAGTTGAGCTAACGGGGTATAATCAGGTGAGGCCAAGAGCACCGTCTGCGGGGATGAGTATACCTCAAATGGCTTCGGTGAAGACGGAATTAGAAAGTCAGCAACAACAACAGGAGTTGAATTTGTCGAGGCAGTTGTTGGGGATGAATAATAATTCAGGAAATGATCAGTTCTGGAGCAATGGCGGCCGCGGCGGTGGTGGTGCTAGTACTACTACTGCATGGACTGATCTTTCGGGGTTTAATTCTACTTCCACTACTAGCAATAATATTAACAATCCCCTATAAACTTCAGTTCCAATTTGTACTTTGGTGATCAGATCGAATACTTCACTGCGAAGCTGCTAGCTTCAAGTTTTACTTAATTTTATAGAAAATTAACTCGGAAGAAATCAAGAGCTCCTTCCTATCATTGGATGATAAAATGTGAGGAAATTAAGGATGATGAGCTTTGTTCTTCGTGATGGTCTAGTAGAAACCCTAGAAATGGTAGGTTTTTGTTTTATGTTCTTGTTTACTTCTTTTTTCCTGCTTCATCTGTGAGCTTAGGGACTGTTTTATTTTGGATTTAGTTTTAGGAAGGCATTATATATATGATGTATGAGCTAGCTAGCATGCTTGCAATACTATTACAGTGATTGTATGAGTACTTCATGGAGCTTTGAATGAAAATCGAACGTCTTTGTACTTCAATCAGTTAACAAAATAGCACTGTCTGCGCTGAATGTTAGTTTTTCTCTTCTGGAATTTAACTTATCTATATAAAACTGTTTTTATTTTTATTTTTTTGCTATGCAGCAACTGTTTCATATAGTTATGATAGAATAGTGAATTTGCAGTTTATGAGAAGATATGTAGCTTAATTTAGTCGTTGGACCTTGCATGTGCTTATAAGAAATAAGCCTACTCCTACTTCATAGCCGATCAAGATTCAACAGTTTCATGTTAATTCTGGGGGCTCTCTTTTCTTGACTTTAGTTGATACCATTCCCCCGTTTAATACTTGGAAAGTTCACTTGTTTCGATTTAGCTTGCGAGAGCGTATTATAATATTGACACATATTTTGTATTAAAGTCAAAATTCGCCCATTATTATTAATCACTAAAAGGACTAAGCTTCCAGTCTAAGGAAGCTTATCACTTAATATATATGCTAATTCCTGTCTGCTAGATATTCATCTTCTTATATACCATGCGTTCTAATTGTATATGGTCGTTGTGCGGTATTATATAAGGTTGGCCAAAACAAGATGTATCCTTACTCAGTTTCTTCAAATGGCCTCTTTTATTCATTCATCTACGTCGTCATTTTTTTTCAAGAACATGATAATCCCATTTCACAACCAACATCAATGGTGGATCCAAGATTTTTTTTTTTTTTTTTTTTTTTGGAGGAGTGAGGTGTATAAAATGGTGTTTGTAATGGGGGAGGAAGACTGCTGCTTCGTGTAAAGAATGAGAGATTTTCCCTTAAGAAAACTTAAAGTAGTTTTAAGTGGCTAGACCAGAATTACATTGTTTTGGCCAGGGTTTAAGCCCTTAGACCAAACGATGCGACTTAAAACTACTTGAAAATTTTTCTTCCTCGGTGTCAATGCTTAAATACAAACATAAAAGGGTTTTTATTTTCCTTGGTGTAGATGCTTAATCAAATATGTACAAACATATCTTGTAAACTACAAATTTAGAGGTGCAAAGTTTCAATATGTGTGTGTGAGTGTGTTTTGGTATATTTTTATCCTCCCATTATCCTGGCTGGCGACAAAGTTAAAAATAATAAAAACAAACCCTAGCTAATTAGTTGGAAAATTATCTTAAAGCCATAGATTTTGGTAAAACCATGGCCTTTTTCATTTGTGGGACAACGCGTCATAAACTTGCGTCGTCAAATATATTAGTTCCGGTCCATATTGCTTAATTATATATATGCATGGAACCCATGGAAGATAGAGAGAAATCAGTTTCCCACTTTGTTTTTGTCTAAACATAACATAATGCAGACATATAAATACGTCCACCGGCAGAGTTGAGTGACATCCAACTCTCCAACAAAACCATTTGTTTACAAAACATGCATGTCCAAATCTTGTTTTATTATTTATTAATTATTATTATTATTATGCGCATGAAGAATCATCTTATTCTATGATTGAAATCCCAATAATTGGGTTTGCGTGAGGCACTAAGATTTGGACCGACGAGAAAAAATGATTCTGTAATAATATGTGAATGTACTATTGTTGTGTCCTGGCCCCTGATGACCCTGATGAGATCAGATGATTCATGATGATGATCATGAGGCTGCGTTAATTACGTTAATTTGGTTTTGTGTACTACTTTAGGACAATTCTCTCAAAAGAAGCCAAAATCGTCACTCAATTCCACAAACATAAAAATTCCAATTCCAAAATCATAGGCCATGCCACTGCAGAGACAATGAGACATGGATATAGATTGGTCTTCGACTTTCTGTTATGACCCAAAAAAATATAATATTTAAAAAATAATGAAAAAGAGTCACTTAGTACTACGGTTTATTGATTTTTTTTTCCACTTGTAAGTGAGAGGTCTTAGGTTCAAATTTGAATCACATTATTGCTAAATCATTGTGAGGTTAAACTCAACTTACTCTTAATGTAAATAATATTGTTTGTTAAAAAAATAATAAAAAAAAAAGAATTTGTTTTGCTGTGTTTTTCTTGAGTTTCAAGGACAATTTTTGGGTTATAGCTAAGAGTATAAATCTCATTTCGAAAAAAGAAAAGACTTTGAATATACTTATAAGTAGCGTAGTTACTTTTCATGTTACCAATTGTTTTTATAATCGAAACTTCAACTTTTTTTTTATCTAAAACACAGTCACATATCATTTTTGTTCTATTTAAATCATAACAAGTAAAACTATTTTTGTTAGTATACTCTGAAAGGAGAACGCATCTACTATTTCATCTACATAAATTTATGTGTTTTCAATTCTCATAAAATTCTCGACTTTTGTGTGCTGAAGAATAACGTTAGGCTTTCTTTGGCAACGCCACTACTCATGCTGTCAATGAACGGAATGAAAGATTAGCATCATTCAGAATATATGCATGTCTGACCATTTCGCAGCTTTGACGCGCGTGAGTGTGTGGTTGGTTCACGCTAGGAGACAAACTGCTGTTTTGTCAGTTTCGTAGACCGGACAATATGACATGACAGGGGCCCTCCCGGACTCCCAGTGATTCGATATAATGTTGGCACGCGCTTCAGAGCTTCGTGCTACTTCCTTTCATATATCTCTCTGTGCAGTCAGTTTGTCGTAGACCAAGCTTGCTAGTTTCATTTCTGACACTCACTGGTCCGACTGTTCATATCAATACGATCAAATCCAATGCAATACTAGGGTTATGTTCTTACCCTAAAACTATACTACGTTGGTCATTTCATTTGAATTAGGGTTAGGTCTTGGATTCGACTGATAAATTTTTCAATCCAGTTCAATTTAATTTGGAGTAATCGTAATTAATCTTCTATTGTCACTAATTTACTGATTACATTGCTAACAACATCTCTAATATATATTGACTTCAAAGTTATAATTAAAGTTTATCTTCAATTAAAAGATGGTCAACAAACGTGATACGTAATACACATATACAAACTAAATTATTTATAAAAAATGTTTCCAAGTTGATTCTATCCATGAAGGTTTATCCTCGAGGCTCAAAAATATTTGACCCCTCTGGTTATTATTTGCCATCTCTCTCTTATTTCAAGTATTGAAAACCAAGCACTAAACCTAAATCAATAGGAAAACTATTAGAATAGTTAGATATAGTTCCATCAACATTGTTTTGTTGTCCCCTTTTATCCTAGAAATGTCTGTTTGAGAAGATTTCCTCGCAACTTGACATGAACAGACTTTTGAACACTATCATATAATCCAACTTTTGTTTTTACAGCAAGAGATTGAACCTAGCTAGGTTCATAGTTACTCTTTCCTACCACACTTTCAGTGCGAGCTACATTTACTAATCTTATTAGTATAAATCAAGAAAAGTGACTTTCGCACATAATTTCTTCTTGCAGATCTTTTTTTTTATGATCTTTTGATTTAACAAATCAAAAGAAAATTAATGAACAAAATGTGCATGTAAAGTGATAATAGTATTTGAAAATCAGTTCCCTACATCAAACTCTCTCCCACCATAAAATATACTAATCCCTCACAGTACAAATAGAATTAAAGAACATATAGCAAAGCAAATTTGCGTTGAACTGTAGTCTGCTCCAAGCAATGGTCCAAATTTCGATCGATCATGGACCCAAAAAATAAACAGTACTGCCTTGCTGGCTAAGTATTTGATGTGCGCGCCCTAGTTGTCTTTTTTACTTATTGCTATTTCTTTTCTATACTTTTCTTAAAGGACTTGGCAAGATGTTTGCCGAAAGTAGGATAATATGTCTAGCAACCAAAATTCGGTCATATTATATTTTGTTTTGCTACAAAATCGGTTACAGAAAAGACTGCAAGGCTTGTAATGTATCATATTATAGTTGCACCAGACCTCAAATCCATAAAAATTTCCATTTCACCATAGTCGAGTAACTTCCCTAGACTTTCATTTGACTGTAAGAAAAACAAGATACGTATAAGACAGTTTTAAAACCATGTAATCACAATATATATATATATAGAACATTGTGTGTGTGTGTGTGTGTGTGTATCAGGGTTTCCCCCCTATTTTTATCACTAACTACATGGTTCTTACGGGATCCCATCATCCCGTTTTTGTTACAATGGACAGAGAGAGGTTGTGCTAAGAAGGGACTCGACATACAAAGTAATGTTATTACTATGTGGGTAGCTACAAATTAATCAAAATTTATATATTTTCCAAGTTGGAAGAGTAGTCATGTTGAAGAAAGGAATCTATGTAGCTGCTGGGTTGTTTGGATTTACTTTTGCAAGAACCAAGGCTAGCTGCTCTTGCCAAGAAGGAATAAAGCATATTCAAAATGCTCTAACAGAAAAATAAGCCTCATATTGATGAAATTGGGGTTCCATCGTAAAACCAATTGGCAATATGGGGAGTAGCCCAAGATCATATAAGCACATAGCAAACCTTGTCCCTCACCAATATAAGACAACTCTCAACATGCCCCCACACGTGTAGCGGATTTTCAAGCCTACACGTGGACAACAACTGGGTGATGTGGAGCGCGTGTGGCCGTTGGGCTTCACACATGGACAACCTTGCTCTGATACCATGATGAAATTGGGGTTCCACCATAAAATCAATTGATAATATGAGGAGTAGCCCAAGATCATATAAGTACGTATCAAACTTTGTCCCTCACCAATGTGAGACAACTCTCAACACATATATGGTCATGGTCGGTTAACTGAATTGAGTGAGTGTAAAATTCAGAAATCGAGTTGAATGATCCCGAAAGTGAAGATATATATTTACTGAAATGTGGGCTTCTTCTTCTGATATCATCATCATCATCATATGTACGAACAATAGAGAGCAGTAGAAGGAATTTTCAGGGGCTCGGAAATCCAAACCAAATATATTCTAACTCACTCTCTCATTGATCCTCATGTTGCTGTGACTGTGAGCCAGACACATGGGTTTGTGTGATATATCAGTGACATGCTCTCTCTCTCTCTCTCTCTCTCTCTCTCCACACAAAGAGATAGTGGC